GTTAATAATTTTATTACGGATGCCACCAGCTGGAGTTATGAAACTTATGGCCATCTAGGAAGGAAAAGATCTCGTCTCATGGCGCGTCTTGATGGCATCACTAGAGTTCAGAACCATTTGGGATCCTCCTCCTCTCTTGACTCTCTTCAGAGACGCCTTTGGCTAGAATTGGAAGACATTCTTATACAGGAGGAAATACTTTGGGCTCAAAAAGCTAAAAATTCTTGGTACTCCTTGGGAGACAAAAATACCAAATATTTCCATGCAAGAGCCAATGGAAGAAGGAAAAGAAATAAAATCGAAGCGATTAAAAACAACGATGAAGAGTGGATTGATGATCCCCAGACTATCAAATCCTTGGCCACTAATTTCTTCATTAATCTTTTCACGGAAGATGGACAAAGCAGCAACCTTTTGATTGACAGTTTCACTTACCCGGAGCTCGATCATTTATTGCTCAGTTCGCTAAATAACGACATCTCTGATGAGGAAATAAAGGATGCTATTTTTGCAATGGGAGCTCTTAAGTCACCTGGTCCAGATGGATTGAATGCCCTCTTCTACCAAAACCAGTGGGACACCATCGGGGATTCTGTAACTAAAGTAGTCAAACAATGTTTTGTTGACCCTCGCGGCATTCAAAGACTGAATGATACCTTCATCATCCTCATTCCAAAAAAGGAGCACCCGGAAACCATTCGGGATTTTCGTCCTATTAGTCTCTGTAATATTATTTATAAATTAATTACAAAAATTATTACTAATAGATTGAAACCTTACATGTCCCAGGTAGTTTCACCAAACCAATGCAGCTTCGTTCCGAGGCAAAACAGTTCAGATAATATAATTATTGCTCAAGAGGTGATCCATTCTATGCGGAACATGCAGGGTAGGAAGGGATTCATGGCGATCAAAATTGATTTGGAGAAAGCTTATGATCGTGTTCGTTGGGAGTTTATTCTCAACTGCCTAGAGGAGTTAAATATCCCGCTTTCCATGAGAGAAGTAATTTGATACTGCATCACAACCCCTTCTATGCAAATCCTTTGGGAAGGTAGCAAAGTTGAGGAATTTCAGTCTTCTCGTGGCATTCGGCAGGGAGACCCCATTTCTCCTTATCTCTTTGTAATTATTATGGAAAAACTTGCTCACATTATACAGAAGAAAGTAGCTGATAAAGCATGAAAGCCAATTAGGCTAGGTAAGAATGGCCCTCTTGTATCTCACTTATTCTTTGCTGATGACTTGATGCTTTTTGCAGAAGCAAGCATGGACCAAGTAGAGGTTATCCTGAGCTGTCTTGATGTTTTTTGTGCTGCTTCGGGCCAGAAGGCTAATGCGAACAAAACGAGGATATTCTTCTCAAGGAACATTAACCACAACAGATCTAACCAGTTGAGCGAAGCCTTGGGCTTTACTAGAACGAACAACCTTGGAAGATATCTTGGTGTGCCTCTACATCATAATCGCATCACTTTTGGGACGTATCATTTTATTCTTGACAAAATACGCAACAGATTGAACAACTAGCTTACAACTCGACTTTCTCTTGCGGGCGGGATACCTTGGTGAAATCAGTCATCACTACAATTCCGTCATACGCTATGCAAACAGTGAACCTTCCTGCAACTATCTGCAATAATATTGAAAAGAAGTCCTGTGACTTCCTGTGGGGGTCTTCTGAGGAAAAACGAAAGATGCACCCTATTGCTTGGGAAACGGTCTGTAAAGAAAAAAGAGCTGGAGGCCTTGGGATGAGACATTTGAAGCAGCAAAACCACGCCTTTATGATGAAACTAGGCTGGGGCTTAGTGAAAAATTGTGATTCGCTATGGGTTAAGGTTATGAGAGGCAAGTATGGCTGTGGCAACGACCTTCTCCCGACCATTAACTCCAAGAAAACTGGCTCTAATATTTGGAGTGGTATTAAACGGACCTGGAATAGGGTGGAAGAAGGGATACAAATTCTGAAAGATAGAAATGGGGAGGATCGGGCTCGCTGGAAATGGAGCAAAAGTGGTGTCTTTTCAGTTAAGTCCGCTTATAATAGCTTAAACCTGGCTGTCAGTAGTATTTCAAGGTGTTAGACTGATATATGGAAACTCCGTATCCCTCAAAGATGCAAGACTTTCGCATGGTTGATGTCTCATGAACGCCTTATCACGAATGATTTCAAGTTTAGATGCCACCTACATTCTAACAGCATTTGTGATAGATGCAAACTTCATCCGGAGGATACGCTCCATGCGCTCAAGGACTGCATATACGTTAAGTCGATATGGATGTCGGCTATCTGTCCCTCCATGCATGACCGATTCTTCTCAGGGGCTCTCGAAAGTTGGGTTCAACTAAACCTCAAAAATAAACTGAGAGGGGATGGGTGTTACTGGAAGGGGCTATTCATCGTCATTTGTTGGCTTATATGGCATAATCGGAATGAAGTAATCCATGCAAATGGGGAAGAGAGGACTGAGAGAATTTTTGATCATGCTACGGCTATCCTGGATAGCATGTCCCATGCCTCCAACAAGTTGAGAGGTACAAACCTAAATGCCAATCTCCGACAGCCCCTCACTGCCCCTGTTTCGGATGCGGCCAGGAAAACTATTATCGAGGTCGATGGGGCCTTCGCTTGCATAAGAAACATGGCTGCGTGCGTTGGTGTCATTATGGACGGTATGAGACAAATCCTGGAAGGCTTCCTCTCAAGTCTTCATGCTGGAGACCCACTCTCCGTGGAGCTCTGGGGCTGTTTGCTCAGACTAAGACGAGCTTGGGATGGTGGTTTCGCGATGTTATACTCAGATCCGACTCGCAGGAGGCACTGGCGTTAATTAGAGGAAACGTTCTCGACTTGCATGAAGATCTAGAATATCATCATGCAGATTAAAACAATGATGGATAGAGACTGGAAAGTTGAATGCCAATACATAGATAGGGAGGACAATAATATGGCGGATATGCTTGCCAAACGCGCTCTCACGGAAAATCCTGGATTTTAACTCCTTGGACCTGATACTGTGCTCGCCTTGCTCCCATCTGATGGGATCGGTTAATTGCCTCTGCTCTTAGATTTCTTTTCAATTTGTATTTTGTTTTCCTTTGTATCAAAAAAAAAAAGGGACAATGAAACTTTTAACCTCTGAAGTCTGCCTCAGTTGTTGATTTGGCTCTAGAAATTTAATTTTCACCAATCAAGTCTCTTTAACCTGTATACCCCTCTGGTCCTATTTATAAGAAAGAGAGAAGATATTTTTTGGTTCTATTTATAGGATACTACGAAATTTTTTTATATGAATGTACAATTTTACTTCTCATTTATTATTGTGTTGGTTTTGTTTATATGAGATATAATGTATATTAAATAGAGATAAAGTTAAAAAGTTATTGAATTTTAAATGTGAGTTAATGAAGTTTAAAGTTTTTCGTAGTTTGTGTAAAACATGTTAAAAATAACTTATAAATATAAATGTGGTTTGAAGATATATATAATTCTAGATACACGTGTAGTTTTTAATTCAGAAATGATAACTCCTGATGGATGGCAAAAAAAGCTGCCAGCCCAATGAGATTACTAAATAAGAATACGAAATTGCGGGTGAAAGGACTTGATTGATAAAAATGAAACTTTAAAAATCGAATCAATAATTGAGGCAAATTTTTGGTCAAAATAATTGAAGCAAATTTAAGGACTACAAGTTTCAATGTTCCATTAAATATCCTAGCATTTCAAAACTTCGATATGTTTTCCCAGAAGCGCACGCACGTACTTCATGTGTCATCATTCCTGTGAGAGAGAAGCTAGTAATTACTAGCTTCGGTTCTAATTATAAGATATCATTTTTGTAGTATACAAATGAGATTTTATAATTACAACTAGAGGAAATATGATTTGTTAGTTAAGAGGGGGAGTTAATTAAGAACATAGGAGTAGTTGAGTCGGAGGGTAACGTATCCCAAAGGCGCAGCTTGGTATTTGATCAAGGGAAGCGAGAATCGTGAGAGATCAGAAGGGGTGCCCAATAAGTAGGGCAATTGGCGCTCCTTCGTTATTTCGTCGTAGTCTAAACAAACGACGCCTGTTTGGATAGCAGGAAAAAACATGTTCATTAATCCAATGTAATGTCATATTGCACATTAACTATTACATGCTTTTTTGTACGCAACATCTATTTTTTTTTTTGGATAGACATATATATCTTTTTATTAGAGGCAATCTTGTTCAAAACATTATTGGATATATATCTTTTTATTAGAGGCAATCTTGTTCAAAACATTATTGGATACTAAATATGAATATCTCTTCAACAAGAATATATAACATCCATTAGCTTGGCAGGTTATTGATCTTTTCTGTAACCTACCAAAAGATTAAGCTGAAATGGTATATATGGTGAATTTCTTTTTACATATTGCTCAGTGTATTTAATCTCACAACTCATTAGCACTCCTCAGAGATAGGAAACGAAAAATGGAAAAGATTGCCACATGCCAAATGTTCTAGTAATTTAATTGAAAGGAAAAATATCTACTATAAGTACTTTTTTATTAACTTTAGATATTATAGAAACTGGATAATTAATTTACTGGTTTAGAAAAGTAATTGAATTAGTTATTTCTTAAAAATGTATTAATTTCTCTACGATACCCTTTAATCATTTAATTTTTGCAATGAAAACTGTCATACTATGAAAACTTTTCCTTAACATGCGCAGATAATAAGCATAGTTAATCAGGCCTCCATATCCATCACGCCTATCATCACAGTACTGTACTGAATTAAAGGACACAAAAAGCTTGGCCTCCATACAGCAGAATGCTTGGTTCGGAAACAAGCAACGACGGACTCTTTTTTTTTTGGTGGTCAAACACGACGGCTGACTCATATCTTAAGGGATATCTAGTACCAAAATGTGAAAAGAAAAAAAGGGGAAAAAGTAAAGGGCTTCTCACAGCCTATGCCGCCATATGTGTATATATATGCGTCACTGTGAAATCACTTAACACGCATGCATATGCTCCGCACTGGCTCTTTCCTCCACATCGCTTGTTTGTAGCAACTCTTCGTAAAGTCTAGCGGAGATGCCTGCGAAGCTCTCCATGGCCTCAAAAATTTGCCGCAGGCCTGCTTGTAAACTAGTGCTCCCACCTTTGTCCTCTTCATCACAAATGATATCTTCAGAATGAGAAAGGCTATCATTAACTTCCCTGAATGCCGCCACCATTTTCTGCTTTACTTCCTGTATTTGCTTCTGTAGCTTCTGCTCATCTCCCTGTACTACATTTCTCCCAACTTCCCTCTCAAGCATTATTTCCAACCTCTCTTGTTCCCATATCTGAAGCACTCCCCTGCCAAACACATACATACGCTCCACAACTTCCTTTTCAGATATTCTCTCCATGGCTTGGGACCATCGATTGCATATTACAAATACACGAGGAGCTCCCATTCTACCAGGGGAAAAACCACCTACACCCTCTGCTGTTTCTTCCGATTCATACGGCAGACATTTCAGAAGCCAATTATTCAGTGCTCTCACATACCTTTTCTGGGCACCCATCCAGCTAGAGAATTGCAAAGTCCAGTTGATCACCTCTTGTTCAAGTTGCTTGGTAGCTTCATCAGCAATGCCATTCTTCTTCTTGGATCCCATCCAAGCAAGAATTCCGGCTTCTCTCATTGCTTCACACTGTATTTGGTGGCACTCAAGCATGGCTTTCCACATTCTTCCTAGCCTGAAAAGGCAAAAAAAAAAAAAATTGTATCCGCACCTTGAGAGGAAACAAAACATACTAATAGAATACTCTACATATAAACAAAATCACACGTGTCTATATACATGTCCCAGGATATGTAAGAGTCAATTGGCAGAATACGACCACATCAAAACCACGAAAAATGCAAGAACAATAAATAAGAGCATGCTAGACCTATATTATATCGAATTGAAGTAGTCTACCGAACTAAATCTTGAAATTTACACAAGATCCTCACACTTCAAGTTCGGTCCTAATGATGAAAATTCAATAACAATCGCATTTTCCTACTCTCGTTTTGTACCTTGTTTTAAAAGCATATCACCTTTGATGGTCATGCACAAGTTCACAAGGCTGTCTTTAAATTCTAACAATCAAGTAGAAGAAAAACAAAAAGGATTCTATAACCGAAGATTGGCACCCACACACACACACACACACACACACACAAGCAATTGACAAATGATAACATCAAAGTACCTACAATAACAACCACGTTTAGTCAAAAATTCATAGAGAACGCTCCCATGTTTGATAGTAAAAACATATAGCCGGCGAGGAGTAGAGATATATTCATGATCTGTACAAAATGAGCTGCAAGATCTTAACTTCACATACCCCTGGATCAATTCATTAAGTTGGGGCCACAGTTCTTCGTCCCTTATCTTATCTATCTTCACAGAAATCAGATCAACCACCTGAATGACCATTCTTATTTTTGTGGATAGTTTCTTAATTAAAGTTTGAGCTGCATCAACTTTGTGAAAATCGGCACCCCTGTCATCCAAACGCCTCAGCAATCGACACTTTCGATCATGCAAGACTCGTATCTTTTCCTCTGCCTACAAAAATAAAACATAGGAGTTAATCAATAACAAATAAATAAATAAATTCTAATGATTAACAAGACAGCGAGGTAGAAAAGAAAAGAAAAGAAAAGATACGAGTGATTAAACCCTAACGTACGAGCATTTAGAAAAACCACAAAGAGTTCATAGATATAGGCTATTCAAAGATATACGAGATGCTGGTAAACAAGTACGCATTCGACTCAATTTACCGAAGATCCAGTTAAATCCATATTGTGTAAGAAACTTCTGACTCTTTGGTGAAAATATCATGAGAAAATTTAAAAATAAAAGCATACCTTTACTTCCTTGTAGAGTTTCTTCTCCCAAAGATGAAGTTTCTGCAATGTAGAAGAAAGGTTGCGTGACCTCGTCAACAGATCTCCGTCAAGTTCCAAGCTCCCAGGACCAATCTTGTATACTTTGGAGATTGATGGTTGTGACACCATTAATGACAACGGGAGAGCGACTAATTTTAACATCTTGGAAAAAGCTGGTTCATATGGATTGATAAAATTCAAAGTTCAGGGGCAAGCATAATAATTTGACGTCAGCACAAAAAACCAAGTTCAAATCAATCACTGACACTGTAATTTAATGCATGCAATATACGCTCGAAGAACTTGGAGTAGTACTTGGCACAAATTATTAAAGGGCACGCTGGAAAGAAGGAACGTCCTCAAATAATACACAGATCAAGATAACAACAATGGATGGTGGAGGAAATAATTCAATTTAAGAGAAGTAAAGAAATTGAAAAAGAGCCGGGTTGCACCAGAAAATGCGGATGACTTACCTTGATAAGCCACATGTTTTCGATAATATGGAAGCGTTCCCACCTCAAGTATCTTAGCGATCTCCGTGCCAGACTCGGAAGCCCTTCGGAACTGAGCCTCAATCTCGCTGGCTAACTCAAAAGCATTCGGAGGACCGCCTCGTTCCCCGGACATCTCATCATCCGCATGCACTTCATGCTCCACCGCTTCCACGCCATCATTCTCCATTGAACCAAGCGGCATAGTTTGGTGAAGCGAGGCCTCTGTAAGTTCAGCTTGGTTGTCTTTTGAGGATTTTGAATGAGTCCCAGCTCCATCATCTGCATCGCTTTGATCCTCCTGCACCGGTTCGACCAACTCATACTCATAATCATCATCTTCCAGATCAGGAATTCCGTCGTCCTCTCTTATTTGCTTCAAGTCCTGGCTCGTTGTGAGTTCAGAATGATGTCCATCCTCATCATAATAAGAGTTATGAAAATGCCAAGGTGAATAAATCCCTGGAGGTGGCTGAGATGAAGAAGCAACCGCCGATAAGTCCGGCCCGAACGGAGGGGTTGAGCAATAGTACCCGCCGCTCCCAACGCCAAAATTTTGATATCCGAAGTAGTGAGAAGGATTAGAATTGGTGTGAGAGAATGAGGAGGAGTAAAAAGAAGAATAGTCGGCCATGTGAAAAGCGGGGGGACTGAAAGGCATCTGCTCATACACCTGGGAAGGGGGAGCAGTATGCTTCATAAATGCAGCAGATGGAGAGGAAAGGTGACCTCGGGGATATGATTGGGGAGTATAAGTGAAAGGATGATGAGGTGGAGGCAAGGGAAGGTCGCGGTCGTCGTTGTGAGGAGGCAACGAAGGAGCTGGGAAATGGTGGAGCTGTTGGAGGGAAAGAGCAATAGAGTGGAGGGAGTTGATATAGGAGAGGTGAGCGGCAGAGAGAGCATAGGAGTGACGAATAGTTTCATCGAGAAAGGCGCGACGCTGACGACAAAGGGTGACGGCGGGCAGATCGTTGAGGTTGGAGGCGGTGCAGCCCATGAGGGACGGAGATGGATGGGAGGGGGAATGCTGAATTGATAGCATTAAATTGGGAATGAGGGGGAAGAGGAGGAGGGGGGAATCTTATGCCAGCGAGGAGCCGAGTGTAACCGAAGGAGTGAGCAAGCACAAATTGGGCAGTCATGGAGTGGCCTGCTGTGTCATATGGAAAGCGTGCATGGTTATGATGATAATAACAATATAATGGACTAAAACAGAAAGAAGACACGAGAGAAGGAGGAATTAATAATAAAAATAAGTATTCCTTTCTGGATGGAACAAATTTGAATTCGAGATGGATGGATGTTCATTCATTCTACGACGTCGTGCGTGGTTTGTCTTATTCCTGTCAGCCACGTATCGAATCTACACCTCCGATCCCTGTGACAAATTAACCCGCACTCATCATCACCTGCATACACTTCCATTTGTAGTAACATATATTATTCAAGTAAATATTTGATGCCACGTCTATATAACCTATAAACCTTATAGTTGTTCTGTGATTGGTTACATGTTTCTCATCTGTTGGTCTGTGTCATTCTTGGTGCATGTATTTGTCTTCTGATTCCATTATCTATTGTTTTGCCATGTATTAGCCGTCCACGTGTGCTTCGCTTTTATGTCTCATGGGATCCAGCAAGAGCATCCGAAACATACCGAATTCCTTGTAAACCAAGAAAAAATGTATCCACATGGTTCTCCGACTTCTGCCCTTTTTTTAATGATTCGACTTCTGCAAGGTTTTTTCGACTTCAGCCCTTTCTTTCCATCATATCATAATTCGCTTATTCTAATCTTCGGAGATTGATGGCGCAGTAATGGGTATTCTCTGTCTGCTATTTCTCTGATTTCACTTTATGCTCTCTTTCCCATTGTTTCTCTTCCTTATTTAAAGTCCTCTCCTCTCTGGTCTCTTTGACTTAACCTTCAACTATTCAAGTGCTTGGCTCTAACTGATTTTTTAGGAACTCAGGAGATTATGGCAGTATTGCTGATTATGAGGCTCTACTGCTAACCTTGGCAGAACGTAACTATTTCTCTGCTTTGGGAACCCGTTTTATTCCATTATTTTTCCGCTTCTTTCACTTTTCTTGTCTATTCAGTACTTCATTTTCTCCGGCCGGGCGTTAAAGATGCTTCTTGGTGTTCAATCTAGACAACCCGATTGTAAACAGTGAAAGTTCGGTTACTTCTTGTTGGTGAGTTATCTGGGTACTGAATTAGATAATTTTTACTATTTTTTATGGAAGACTCTTCTTTGCGGTTCTTTGAGAGTTGATCTATCCCATCCATTACAGTGATATTTTTGTTTCCACACTTTTTTTCCTATCTGTTTGATTTCTCCATCTTACACCCCTTTCTCTCGGTCTTTTACTTCACATATTTGGCTAATGTGCCGTTCTATTTTCGCTGCTTTGTGTGTGTGTTTTTTTAATTGTTCTTACTGTAGCACTGATTATGGAGCAGCGTTTAGAAGAAATGAATAGCGGGATGATCGTTAAGGGTCATTAAAATAATGTTGGAAAAGAGCGAGAGGCCAAATGATCACTTCCAATCGAGGAGATTATCCGATCCCACCTGGAGAGCATTTCTAAATCAAGGAGTCATTGCAATTTGTCGGAGGATTCAAAATTTAAATTCTTACAATAATAGATAAAATTGGCATTTGTTTGAAGAGCATTATTTGACATTGGTGTGGATGTTCAGGGAAATTTTTTGATAGTTAAAAGGTGATCAAATGGTGTAATGTCTGTTTTGATATTTTTTTATCAAATTATTTTCTAATTAAGTTATTAATTTGATTTAATGTCTAGTAAGCCAAAGTTTAGGGAAGTGAAGTCATTATTAATTATTTTATTTATTAATATGGCGATTATTGTTGAGATCAAGTGTTGTCATGATCAAGATTGTTAAACTCGCGAGTTTAAACAAACTCGTGATAATGGTTTAAACTCGGATCATGGACTCAAATTGTGAATTTGTAATAGTTTACTTTTATTAATAAACTAATATTAAAAGTATATAATCAAATAATTAATATATAAAAAATAAGAACAATTTCATTTAAATATATTTTAAATTTAAATAATTGAAATTATATCTATCAATGTTCATAATTTATCATATTCAACAAAAAATTTTCTATAAAAATCATATATTTAACATGAGTTTAAGAGCGATTTGACACGATTTTGTAAGCTAAAAATATAAAAACGGTAAACTCGGTAAATAAACTCGTAAGTTTAACCAAGTTTACAGTGATTGCGAGTTTATGAATGAGTCGACACGATTTTGTTAGCTGAAAACGTAAAAATATTAAATTCGGAAAGTCAACTCGCAAGTTTGACAACAGTGGTCATGATCGTGTTTCATTTTTTTCCCCAACGTAATTATCGTGTATCACATAGTAAATAAATAAATGCTCACAATGTCGGAGCGATTGCGATTTTTTTTTTTTGGAGATTCAAGCTATAGATGTTTATAATAATAATAGATAAAATCAGCCATTTCTTCAAGGGCATTCTTTGATATTTATGTGCTTAACCTAAAATTAATTATTTAGATTGTCATTTTATTAACTGGTTGTCTTTTATGAAATAAAATTATCTTTTAGGAGAGAATATCCTTTTTTTATGAATTAATGCACAGAAAAATGAAAAAAAAAATATTGTGCTTCTTTTTGTTTATTGTTTATTATTGATTCATTGATTAAATTTAAACTTGCTCCATAAATTGAGTAGTTATGACGATTCATTAGGATTCAAAATTTAATAGCTTACTATCCTGCTTATATTTGAATTTTTCAATTAGAGATTTATTTCAAGTTTTATTTTTTCCAAAGGATTTCATTTACCTTCCTTTGGATATGTTACTGCTTAAAATTGTTTTTCTTTGATCTATGTGGTTTTTTAAATAAAAAAAAGATTTTATTTCTTGTCCTTTGGAATTCTTTATTTAATATATTTGAGTGTCATAATGGTATGTACTTATCTATTGATCTTCTGTTACATTGCATTTGGTTAATATAAAGTTACATCGGATGAAGTGTGTGGAGCTGAAAGGGTATTATTAATATGTAATTAATTGTGCACAAATAAGTCTTCAAAGGAATTGGATAGAAAGGGCAGATCTTTACAATCACAATTGTAAGCTTGAGTTGGAAATACTTTGTGTTGCTTCATCCACTTCTCATCTAAAGAGGCATCTTCTAAAGTTATTCTAGACAGAGATATCTCAAAGTTGCTTTGTCACTCTTCTTCTGTAGTTGTTAGAGCTATTCATGCCTCTTTTTTTTTTTTTTTCCTTATGTGTCTTCTTTTATTTTTCCAATTTCATTTGCTGTACTGTTGAACTCTATTATTATTTACTATATCATTTTGTCTTTTCCAAGTTTTAGTAAGGTACTATTTTGATTTGATTTGATTTATTTGATAATTTGAAAATTAAAAAGAGAAACGTATAGAGAACAAATGTTAATGACTTTATATTTGGATGATGAGTTGGAAGGATCTCTTCGTATTTGTTTCAGTGAGTTGTAATGTGTGATTGGTTTGTGTCTCTCAAATTCTTTTTGAAAAAAAATTATCCAATTGTATTCAGCTGGACTAAACCAATTCAAATTACAGATTAATTTTAATTTTTTTCAAATCTTAATTTTTTTCATAAAAATAAAAATCCATTTATAAATCTTTGCTTTGATTTTTGTTGTTGTAAACCTATTTAAAGATCATTATTAGGCATCCTTCGCTTATAATTAGCCGTTTAAAGTTATTTGTTTCAAACATTATTTTGCTAATTACAAGGGCAGCTCAATATTTTATCTTGGAGTATTGTAAATACGATATACCATACACTAACTTCAAAACGTTTTTATTTTATTCTAGATCTTTATTCATGGAAGAAAAAAGTTTTCCTAAACAACTTATTAATTGGATGATATTTTTCTGGTTTTATTTATAAATCACTTCCAATATATTTCACACAAACCAAGAAAAATCTTAAACTTCATTAAATTTTATTTAAAATTTAATAATTTTTCAACTTTATTCCTATTTAATATATATTATATCTATGTAAATGGAGTCAACATAATAATAAATGAAGAATAAAATTGTATATTCATATAAAAAATTTCTCTCATTACCCTATAAATAAGATTAAAAAATATATTCTCTCTTTACCTTATAAATAAAACTAGGAGAGTATGAGAAAAGATTATGATTACTACAAGGTTTTTACAAATTCCAATTAGGATTATACCATATTTCCCTTATTTACACCTATGTTGTTTTTTTTTTGGCTGAACAATTAGTAGCCTGGGGTGGGATTGATGAATTTTTAATATAATAGGAGGTGCAGTACTGATATTTTAGGGTGCTAAATGCTAGATGCACTTTGAAAAATATTTTAGGGTGTTGACTTTAGCCTTTGTAATCATTCAGTTTCACATAGTAATTTATTAGTTTTTTGATCAAGTGGTTTGTTCAAATTTAGATTATCACAATTTTTTAAGGGATTCAAAATTTAACGATTTTTATCCATAGGAATTTATTAGATACTAATCTAACCAAGGAGCATCTGAGATTGCTAAAATTGCTGAGCATTATCTTTTTTTATATTTAGAGTCTCTGATTGATTCACTTTATCATTTAACTTCTTCACAAAATTTAAAATTTAATTTTTGAATGTGATATTAGTTTATATACAAAAAAATTATTGGCATTTTGATATTGAAATCTATATATAATAACACTATTAGTGCTTAATCAATCTGTGCAACACGCGGGTATGGCGTCTAGTTTATGTTAAAAACGAATTATCAACCTCTACCTTCTCATGTGTTTTGACCAAGCTAGGGTACTATGTATAGTATGCTTTAAGGGCCTCTCAGATGTGTGATGTTGGACGCCAATAACCTTGTAATATGGTGGGCATGTAGGTTCTCCTGCTACGTGAGAAGTTGTGGGTTCAGCAGCGCATGTAACTTTAAGTTGTTA